CACACACACACACACACACACACACACACACACACACACACACACACACACACACACACACACACACACACACACACAGACTGTCTTTGTTGATGGCAATCTTTGCTCTCCATTTACCTCTTTGCGGACACCAAGTAAAGGCATGCCCAGTTTAACTTCCTGCAAAATAAAGCCTCTCATAGGGGAATGAAGAGAGATTTACTGGCCATCAATCCTATCTTACACCTTTTGCCTCCTGTCCTCCCCTCCCACAGAGTTTAAAAACTCCACAGCCCTTTCACAGGCAGATGAGAAGAAACAGAGCGAGCGAGAGGTGGGCTGTGTCCTTTAGACCATCAGCCGCCGCTCATGTGTTCACCGGAGTACAGCGATGTGCAGCAATGACGGGGCTCTTATCGTCCCAGGCTTGTTTTATGATGGCAGAATTTGGCAGCCATCTGGTGTAAACATTGGATTTCAAACTGCATCAGATAACCGCTGGTGATAAGTTTCACTGCTGTGAAAATATGTCTTAAATGTGCCGAGGTGTTTTGCTCATGCACCCACAAAACTCTGCACCAGATGTGGGGAAACATGGGAGGCAGAACGGTCGATGTGGGGAGATCGGGCCTGAACTGGAGGGTTTGGTATATTGGGGTCTTGTTGGTTGGACTTTGGCTAGTTGTCCTTCCCGTTAGTTTTTTTTTTTCCCTTTTCTGTGCCACCTCTACACATATGCACTCGGTAAAAGAGACACGCACAGCTCTCTGTAATTTGCTATTAGTGTTAGGCAGACCAAAGGAGTCGGACACACAATTAATAGAAATGAAAATGACGTTTCTTTGCCTCCTTAGTCCAGCTGATAACATGTTGTCGATGCTGACGATAAGATTAAAACAAATGGCGCAGAAATGTTATTAAAGCACAGACAGAGGTCCATAAAGCATGCGTGCGGCCCCGGTTGGCCCCGCTTAGTGCTGAAAACGAGGCTAATGACTGAAACAGGACACGACTAATCTTGTTATCTCTTTATCTCATGTCCAGACTGTTTGTGTGTTCATGTGTATGTCTGTGGTATGTTTATGTGTGTTACCCGCCTCTCTTCCGGCTGTTTTAGCTGCAGTGTGGATATTATTATTTGCCTCCCCCTGATTTTCTCCATGTTGGTATTTTGTAATTATGCTCAAATGCTATGCCACATGCCTGCATTGCCTTCACTCCTCACAAACAGACACACACACACACAGACAGGCACTTGACCCGCGTTTTAATATCTCAGAGAGTAACACAAACTGTTTTCTTTTTGTAAAGATTGCAGCGCAGCGCAGAGACTCTGCGTCTCTGAGATTTTTCCATGTCTGGTACATTCCGTTGCGATCTGTTTGCTCCCAATCCACCACGTTGTCATCAGAGAGGAAGCTGAGCCACTTCCAGAACTTTTTCTCTGTCCGTAAAATGTTCTAAAAAGTAGCGGCTTTTGTTGTGGGCCGTCTGCGCGGGTTCATGTAAGCTTGCTGATTTAGAACGCACTTCTGAACATGTTTATAGACTCCAGAGTGAAGTTTTGAACTCTATGTGTGTGTGTGCACACACTGAGGCTCACTGTGGAACTTTGCCAGGGTTTAGGGCTTGGCTGAGAGAATGCCTCAAACCAGTTTACTCTGGTTGTGTAGTGGAGAAGTCTGGGGGCGGGACAAGGACCTCTTAAAGCTCCAGGCTCTGTTTTTCTTTGTCTCATACTGATTTCGGTGCTTGTGGATCCTTATATATTTCATACATGGCTCATATGTACCCACATCTCTGTATTACTTCTGACAGCTGTCTTTTTTCATGATTTAATAGGACAATTTAAAACCTTTCATGTGTATGCAGATGTGAACATGTGTGTGTCTGCGTGTGTATTTGTGTGTGGGTGAGATCTTGGCCCTGCCTTGGATAATTTTCCCCACATTTCGCTTTCAAGGACAGCAAGAGCAAAGGTGAAGATTGCCAAGAAGAAGCAATTCAGAGAATAAATGTGTGCAAGGCAGATGAGTTTTCTCGTGTTTTCTGGATGACTGAAGCGGCTGCTCTATGTCAGTGTTTCAGCAGCATGCAGGAGCGTTCTCTTGGAGGAACTGCACGGATCTGTGCACTGTGGCTTCACAATGATATTAAAGTTGAGAGTGGACTGCTCAGGATGGGGAACACAGAGCAGGAAGGGAGGAGAGAGCATCTCTCCTGCTCTTGAGGCGAGCTTTCAAAAACGGTGAAGAAGCAAACCGCAAAGCACTTTGAGTCTAGAGGCTTTCCATTACATCCTCACACACACAAACACACTCATGCACGCGGCAAACAGTTTCAAAGAGCACTCATACAAGTGTGTTCCTCTGTATTTGTCTGGTTCTTCATGTCATCCGCCATCCCGCTTAATATTTCGCGAGGCTGCAGACTTTGCCGGTTCTTCCTGGGGACCAGGAAGACCTGGGCACCGGGTTTGCTCTTTGAAAAGTTTTCATCACTCTGTCGCTCAGTCAAACAAACACCTGCGTAACAGCAAATAGCTGAAAACTGACTTGTTCGGACTTACCCTGTCAGGGGTGGAGAAGAAATGCTCTTAATGCTGTCAATCTGTGTGTGTGTGTTTCTCAGGAAGCCTTCGGGACATGCTGATAAGGAGGTGATGGCCGCCACTGTCCTTACCTCACTGTCCACATCCCCCTTGGTGCTGTACCCCTCCTCTGCATCCACAGGTAACACCACTGCATCCTCAGATTTGGCAATCTTCAAACACTGACTCACCCGCTGTGTTAAAGAAATCACACCTCGCCTTACTCAGGGAGCACACATTGCAAATCGCTTTACTGTTTTTCACTTTGATGGAGACTGAACTTCTAAGTTAAAATGCTGACCTGTGTTACATTATGGAAGAGTCTTGCAGTGTTATTAGCACCATGCTGTTATGTCCTGTTTATGTGTTTTTATGTTGACCAAAGCCCGGGACCTTATTGCCGGTTATTGAGCCCTCACCGTATCGCCACAGCTCCTTCTGTCGTTTCCAATATGGCTGTGGTTGCTATCACTGTGCCAGCTCCACCAGACAGTCAGAGTCCTGTCAGACTTTTTTGTATTCTCAGTATTAAAGTGGGGTAAGACACAGACATTTGTAAAGTCAAATATTCTGCAGGTTGCTTACCAAGGCCCTTTGCCAAGTAGCTTCAACCAGTTACTTAACTATGGACAAAGCTCCCACCCACACACACACACACACACACACACACACACACACACACACACACACTTAAATACCAGAAAGACTGAGTTTATCAGTTAATGAGGAAAGTTTTTGCCAAAACATATCACAACACTCCCACTTTAGACATTCCAAGTCCCTCTCCACTACCTGGAGACGGACTTTGAGAGTTTGGACATGTTCCGAGTAATACAAATCATCTCTGTGTTCTCTTTTTAAATTTGGTAAATGAAAAAGAAAATCTTATTAACATACAACAAATTACACTAAATCATTGGATGAAACATGTTCATTGGATTTAAGATTATGCTATTTTAAATAGATTAATCCCCGGCTTACTTTATTAAGCCTTGCTCTATGTTGTGTATTTTTTTCCCACAGCGAAGGTCAGATCAAGCCAGCTTGTTTACCATGTTTGAAGTTTAAGTAAGGTCAAGCTTTTTAGGTCCAAAGGCAAAATTTTATTGAATATTTTGTTATATTTTGAGAAAACGTATAGTAATAGTAGTACTAGTATAGTAGTAAGATAGATTTTACGTATTTGGATTCAATGTAGCTTTATGAATAAAAAGCTAAGAATTCTTGCTTTAATTCTCTAAGATATTGAAATTGATTTATGAAAGTATGTTACCGATGGTAATAAAATGTTTCATCATTTGTGAGTAAAGCATAGTAAAACTCCTGTTTACTGTCCTCAGATGTAACACACTCACCGTTTCTATGCTTTACTTTGCAGTTCCAGAGCCATTCAGCAAGACTTGCAAAGAGGTGCTCTCTGCCAGCTACAGCAGTTCAACCAGTGGCAACTGGAGCTGGGATGCCAGTGACCAATCAGTGCCCTCCACACCGTCCCCTCCACTTTCCAATGACGCCAACAAGAACTTTCCACTCTCGTCCCAGGGTGATGATGTCAGTGAGGACGTCACAGAGACCACGCACTTCATGTTTGAGGACCCCATACCCCGGAAGAGAAAGGTGAGCAAGTATTAAGGAGTTAGTGTAACCCTTTTGTTTTTAAAACAACAACATTTAACATGACATGATGGAGATTAAATATATATTTTTTCGATTATTATAATGAACTAACTTTGTAAAACTTGAGAAAGACTTCTCAATCTTTTCAGTGAAGGAGGTGGGAAGTTCTGTGGAGAATGGAGAGGAGTTAGGTGGGGGAGGGATAGAGTGTGAGTTAAAGGAGTGCATAAAAATGAGGGCAGTTTATGGCAGGAAAGAAAATCTGACGCTGAAGGCAGCAGCAGGAGAAGAAATGGATCTCAATATTTCCTCAGGCTGTGTGATCCTCTGCTCCAACATGTGGGAGTCTTCAAATCAATGTCCCCGGAGTGTGTGCATACACATGTGTACATTGTGTGCAATTAGTGCTGTTGGGTCATGCATTTGGCGTTGTTTTCCGGCTCACACGCCTGAAGTTTTGCGTTGTGTATGCAGCGTGAGCAGAGCGGGTTGACTGTGGGCAGGTCCGTTTCAGATGGCATCTGATTTCTATACAGCCCCACAGTGGAGCGGCAAAAGGGAAATCCTAGATAACACATTGATTATGGAAGACGATTACCTCGACTGTTGCTAACAGAAACTTGTAAAAGCAGAACTGATTATGTGTCTGTGTGTGTGAAGTACATATCGAACACTACCTCATCTATTGTTTCACTACCTGTGCATTTGATGCCTCTGTTTTTTGCAGCAAATTGCAGCAAATCCACACACGCACAAAAGGTCATGTTGTCCTGTGGACATTGTAGTTAGCCCTTTAACCACAGCCTTTTAAACCCTTTATGTGCATCTATCCGCTGAAGTGCAGGCAGTCTAATTTGTCTACAGGCGGCAAGTTAAGAGGATTATTAAATATGGAAATAAGCAGTCTTACTGTAAATATGTTAAGATGCAAGAAAAACGCTTAGAGAATTAAGTGATTTATTATTGTTAGTGGGATTAGAAACTGGCTTTGCCATGGACTTTTTTCCATTGTTGCTTGAAACAGCATATACAGACACAGGGACTTAGCCAGCGCTACTTGAGGTGTTAATAGCATGTTGCTGTTAAGTGTAATGAGAGAAAGTGATTAAAACACGTTCTCTTGCTCTGCTGCCCTCTGTCTCTCCCGCTTCTTTTCTTTCTTTTTTTTTCCTTTTGGTCTTGCCAGCGCCCGTTTCAGGATAATGAAAGTGCACACCCACTGTCATTCATTAGCAGATGTGCAGGTCTGAGCCTGCTCAGACGACAACCGCCAAGTGAAAAATGACATGAGATAAAACCACGTGTTCGCAATTTATTTATCTCTTCGCGGCTTGCTTATGAATCAGGCCGGGTCATCCATGTTGAATCAGATTCTAGCAGGATTGGACATGATTCAAAGCGCCGCAGTTTTGTGAGAGGCCTCGTGGCATGTGTTTAACTATATAGCCACCTTTGGCCTTTGCTCCATCATTACATTTTTCCGAGAGCAATAGATCAGATCTTCACACCAACCCTCGGCATTTGAATATAGCAAGGAGAGACTGAAATAGTGCATTTGTTTTTCATCCCCCACACTGGTTTCATTGTTCTCTCTCCCTCATGCTTGTTTTCTGTCTTTGTCTTTTCCTCTTCCTTTGGATGTGTCTGTATTGTCTCATAATGGGTTTCTATTTTCGTGCTCGTGTTGCTCTAATTACTCTTTAATGAGGAGTGCTTGTCCTGTATGTAGCTGCTCTCAATCCGCCATAGAGCTGCTTCCTATTATTTCTTTTTCTTTCTTTTGTGCTTTTTTTCATCTTTCAGGGTCGACAGCTGTTGATTAGTAAATAACAAATAATGTGTCATAGGATCATTGTGAATATTAAGCCATCTACCGTTTATGTGGAAGCTCCGGCCTTCTTTCTACCTTGCTCATCAGTCTTCTACCTTGGTTTTGATAAATGTTTCTTTCAGAACTCTATGAAGGTGATGTTTAAGTGCTTGTGGAAGAACTGTGAAAAGGTCCTCAGCACTTCCTCAGGGATCCAGCGACATATCCGCACCGTCCACCTGGGGTGAGTTGTTCACAGAATGGCATCACTGGGCACAAGCGAGGTTCCAGCTGTGGCCTCAGACAGTTCAAACAGCTCTACAATGAGTGTCCTATTGGACCAAAAATATTGCCATTCCACTGTAAAATAACCACCCATATCCAAGCACACATGAAGCAATGTAATGAATATAAATCACACCACTTTTTTCTTGGAATGCCTAAAACTATCATTGAATCTTGTAAAATCGCTCACTCATTTCATCAATCAGGTGACACCCAGTGAAAAGTCAATTGTGTCTGCATGATATGACACAGATTTGGTTTGGCTGTCTTTATCTTTGTGACTTGATATTGGATTAAGTTCAGCACCATGATGACAGACCCAGTGTGCAAAGTTTTGGTCGGTTTGCCCCCTTGGCTTTTCAGTAAAGGAGCCCTACGGCCTAAAGGTTTTTACTGCCCCCTGTTGTTGGAAAAAGCAAACAGTTTTTCTTTCCACTTTACAACATGCTTCTGTGGTTTTCTGAGGGCTGTGTTTGAAAGCCTTATCATCCTAACACGTGAATCTATCTGTCTCTCTGCAGGCGAAACAGTGACTCAGACTACAGTGATGGAGAGGAGGACTTTTACTACTCAGAGATTGAAGTCAACATGGATAGCCTTTCAGAGGGCTTGTCCAATCTCACGCCTACCTCCCCCACCACATCTGGGCCTCCGCCCGTCTTCCCTCCGACACTCAACGACGCCCTTCATTCCGAGCACATCAGCGTGAATGGTCAGCAGAACCAGGGTCCCTCGTTACTCAGTCAGTCAGCTCCCTCCACTCTGTGCCACATCCGCACTGACCATGCCTACCAGGTAACTGACACACAATGCACGAGGCATGCACACAGTTTAAGGTTACGCGCTGCGGCAGAACCACTGCGCAGGATAAAACGCTAAAGAGTTTATGATGCCAATCCAGGATTTGCTTAGCACATGGTATTTGCAGAAGCATTTTATTTGAACTTTGCATAATGGGACTTATGTGGTGAAAGAACACAACTTTAATTACAACAAGCATTCAAATATTTTTCATTACATGTGAAGTCGCAAAAATTTGGCCTTGAGATTCAGTTCTTGTTTAACTCCTGCTTGCACCACCTTATATGGGTGGATATTTGGTATCTGGTTGCCATGCCTCCTCCATCTTCTTCACCTCATCCGTCCTCCTCTCATCCCTCTTCTTACTGCACCGGTTCATGCACATGTCTCTTTGTTACTTGCTTGATGGTAAAGTGAATTGGTTTAAGTTGGACGAACACATTTGGTGACATTATGACGTTATAATTTTAAACTGAATTCATTGGCTGTTGTTTGTGGTATACTGAAGTTTCAGTTTCCCTGACAACAAGAAATACGAATAGAAATAGATGTATGCCTGCAGTGGCCACTTCTTGGGATAGTTTCCTTTGTATTGTGAGGTATGCTTGATTTCCAGTTTAGTACTATAAAGCTCCTTTCAGCTACTCTCGAAGTAGTTTTAGAAATGGTTGGATGTTCAAGAAGTACCTGCTTGATATTTCAAACCCCCATCCTTGATTAAAATAAGATGCACAATCAACACTGATTTAAAGGCACATTTCAGGTTCAAAACCGGAGAGATGCTTCATACTAACTGTACAATCCATTTCTATTGTATTCTCCTCTTGTCTGTTTCCCTCTGCACATTTCCTGCCCCCCCTTGTACGGTATCTGTTGTGTCTTCCCGGCTGTGTGGGGTGGTTGTCCATGTTCCAGGCCACCGCTCCAGTGAGTATCCCAGTGGGTCCTGAGCTGGCTGGGATAGGCAGTGGTAATGGCATCGGGCCTGGAACTGGGACTGGGAATGACATCAGTGTGTCGTGGCAGTCCCCTGCTGTCATTTTTAAAGGCATCCCGGTGAGTGAGGCTTTGTCTCACGCCTTGTTATCTTAATCTTCTCGCCTCTCATGCTGTTCTCACTTGCAACCATTAAAGCTTTTTGCCACACCTTTTTCCCCCTCTCGTGGTTCTTTTGAAGCCACAGTCATTTGAGAGTCTCCAATGTCTGTGATGCAGTTTGTCCAGGACAATGGAAAGAAGAAAACTATTATACCTACTTGCATGTGCTATGTTGAATATTTATTACTACCGTTGTTTCATTCATGATGTCTTGCATATTGTTCACATTGAATAACAGAAATAACCTATTTAGAATAAAATTGATGAGCTCTAAACTGTATAAATATTTTAAAACATTAGAAAGAAAAATTGAACTGAATTGAAGGAAGCCTTGAACTGAATACCGATTTAAGAATTTATAGCTATCTATGATGCTATTTATAGAAAAATCAACAACAGAGCAAATATGTAGCCACATCTTAGACACAAAAAGCTTTTGACTTTCTTTTATTTATTTACTTTTGAAGTGTGAACTCTCCAGTGACTCTTTAAATGATAACGAAAGTCTATTTCTTGTATATTTTATGTAGATTTGAATGTATAAAAAACTGGGGAAGAAACTAGATATTGAGATGAGCCTGATTATGAGAAACAGTTAGCAGGCAAAGTATTAGGTCAAATCTTTCTAGTTTCTATCTTCTAAAGTGGAATTAATATGATAAAATTCACTAATTCCAAGTGATAAATGTGTTTACGTTTCAGGACAAGTCTGTCTATCTGCTGTCGGGGTTGTATTCGCTCAACAGAGTACATCATTTTCCCAAAGAAACTCAGGCTTTTGGATAGAAATGCATTAAATGTGATAGACTGCTAAAGGCGGGGAAGATGAGAAAAGAGCAAAACATCTTGATAACGTGCAATAATTCAGTAATGAGCAAAGAGCTGCTCTTAGCTGTTAGCTTGACATGGTAGAAGTAGACTCGTCTGACCTAATCTAATTGTCTGTCTGTGTGTACCAGCAGTCATCATGAGGTCTGAATGATCTGAATGATCAGTGAACTGTCATAATTTCTCATTCTCCCTGTTCAGCTGTGTTTCAGAGTAGACCTGGCTCTGTGAGGCTTCAGCACGTCAGCTTTTCACTGACAGAGCACTGTTTTCGCATTTTTTTCAGGGCCCTGTGAGTCATGTTCGCACTGTGAGTATCGGTGAGAAGCGGCAGCCGGCGGCCAGCACACACACCACTGTTAACAAGAACCACACGTTGATAACACCGGCACCCAAATCAACACCAGGATCCAGGTACGCAACAGCCATTTGCCTCGTAAGCCGTGCCGCTTTTGGACTGTTCTGGGGATTGTAGCTCATGCTATCTGTTCTTTCCAGCAGTAAGACATTTGGGAAATATTTGGGGCATTTTTCAGAGCACAAAAGTGCTTTTATTGACATCTTTATACCTTTCTCTGTCACGTTTGCTCACAACGAGCACTTTTTGCTCTTTCATGTGGGAATAGTTTTCCAGTAGATATAAACTTTTTCACTTTACTGCTTAGTTAGTGCAGTAAAGTTTACGGGGAGTCTGATTGTTTGCATCGTCACCCACTCCACTGACTGACATAACTGCCTTTGTAACAGCGTATTATAGTTATTAGTGTACAGATGATGGACTCTAATTGAAGAGACGGAGGTGTTTGTGGGTGGCAATTACTTTTAGAAATCCTAATGTTATAATTAGCCCGCACTGATACTCTGGAATAGCTGTTGCATTAATGTTTGCATCGCTCTTTGTGGTGGTGAATCATACAAGTTCAAATACGTCTCAGTCAATTTTCAAAATTTTTAAAATGACTTATTGTATGTTACTTTTTTAAAAAGGAAATGGTGGGGGTTCTCTCCCTTCATGTTCACGTACACCTTTGTGTGAAGTCTCCCTCTGTGTGTGTTTTTGTCCATGTGGGCGTCGGCATGTCTGTGCACATGCCCTCACACTGTCGCATCTGCTGTTTCCAAGGAAACCCCGTGGGGAGGCTAAGAAGTGCCGAAAGGTGTACGGCATGGAGAAGAGAGACATGTGGTGCACAGCCTGTCGCTGGAAAAAAGCCTGCCAGAGGTTCACCGACTAATCCAGTTCCCCTCCCTGGTCTGTGAAAAGGAGCTCTGCCCCCGGAGCAACGACGAGGAAGACTCTTCCACCGTGGAGATGAGGGCAGATTTCTTCAGTTCTCTGTGTTGTTCCCTCGGGGTCAGCGGGGAGGGGTGGGGGGGTCGTTCGTCGTCTCTTATTTCTGCTTTCAAACACGGTGAGAGGATAAAATACTTGTGGGTCAGAAAAAAATACCATAACACAACATTTATGCAGGTTCTGAGACTTTTTCTAAGGCCGAAGCATTTTTACCCTCTCGGTAAGATGAGGATAAAAGAAACATTCAAATTCACAAATGAACCTGAAGATTAGATGTTTTTTATATGCTTCAGCTCAAGACGATGTTTGAAGACTACAGATAAGCTTTTTGACGTAATCTGTTCATTGTAAAAGCATCATGTAAGCTACTGTTTATGACATGGGTCGTGACTCTTTTTTTGAGGCTCAAGGGGTTAAAAACAGATTTGCTCTGTCAGCTTCTCTCAGTCACTGTTTAAGGGACATCAAACCTAAAAGAAAAACTCAAAAAGCTTCTGTTTGCTCACAACCAGCAGTTCTGCTGCAAATGTCTTCTGCAGTCTTACTGGATATCATCTGCATGTTTGAATTACTATCGTACAATATCAGTCAACTCATTTGTTCAGCTAATCCAGAACAGTGTGCTATACTTTTAGATTTGTCAAAACTGCACAAAAACCTTCACACCAAGTGGTACAAAGATTTTTCCTTTTGCGTTCCAAAATATTTCTGGGATGGACACATTATGTGAAATATATTCCCCTTTCTTGTTCACTCTACCTTTTCACTAGAGATATGCACCTTGAAGTAATAAGTCATCTTTTGGAGTATCACTGTAAGCCCAGTGTGCCTGAGAGACGACAACCATTTCTTCTAAAGTTTATTTTCTGCAGCGGGTTGCAGTTGCATTGTGCAATCAGAGCAATGATGGCATTTAATATTCTCTTTCACTTCAAAGTTGTCATTTAGTCTTGAAGCAGAAAGGCCTTTTTTCCCTTTGACAAACTGATGTTCTTAAGAGATTGTTTACCACGATATATGAATGATAACTGCCCTTTGAAATTTTAACTTAACAGTCTGACTGAAGTTAATTGTGTATGTGGGAAAATAACAGAGATTGTAACCTAGCAATCACTACCTAATGGTAAGTCATGGGTTTTAATTAATCTCTTACTCTTTGAAATGGAGAGGTTGCTCTTTAGTTTTTGGAATAATTAGCATTAATAATCTTTGAGTTTTTTTTTTTTGGGGGGGGGTATTGTAGGGAATTCTTACTTTCTGGGACTCCACAGAGTTTGATTTTACTCAGTCCCGTATTTTTGGGGTTGGCTGTGCCAGTTTATTCCCATTTCCGGTCAGTAGAGGTGCGGATTAAGATCATTCCTCTAAAATCCTCGTCCCAAAAACAAGTAGCAATTTTCCCCCTCTGCTCCCCATCTTTGTCTGATGTTTTTGTGTTTTTTTTTAATGGAGCAGAACTCCTGTTTCAGTAACACATCACCATTTAGGTAAAACTAACCTACATGAGTGTAAGGTCAGCTTTAGATTCCTGCTTTAGATGATGGACAGAGCCGACTTTGGGGCATAGTCAGCCACACAGAGGACACAGTGCTGCACTCTAGCAGATCTGCAAGAATGAAACAATTGACTTTACACAGGTCCAATGTCCACACTAAAGCATAGAGCAAGAATTCCCTGAAATCCTCTGATTCTTTTTTTACTCTGGTGGAAAATGATTACAGAGAATCAAATCAAGTCTTGGGCAGAGCACTTGGCAGAACTCTTCATTGGTCAGCTGCATGCTGATTGATATGGATGGAGGGGTTCGTGGATTTACCATGTTTTACCAAAATGGAGTCTTACCTTTTAGGAAACGTTTGTTGTGAAGTAAAAGGAAGCCAAAGTTTCCAAGCTGTTGATGAAACAGTTAGCGCTAGATTATAGATAGTTAGATTCTTTCATTTTTGATAGTCCCTGCTCAGAAACATTTGTCTCTTAAAGGAAATATTTAATTTCAAAGCCCCTTTTATTACCTGTGTCTTTTTATTGATGGGGATATAAAAGATGGAGGACGGGGAAAAAACAACAAAAAGCGACATTACTAAAAAAACTGCCTTTTCCTCCTTTAATGACAACATTAAAAAACAGCAATTTTTGGCATAATATCAAGGATGGATTGAGAGTTACAAAGTTATGAGTCATTCAGAGACCTACCGAGCAGTTTTAACTGTATTTCCCTTCATTGTTAATATGTTATTAGAACTGACTCAATCTTTTGTAATTTTAAATGACTTTGATAAAAGATAAGACTGTTTTATATATATATATATGTGATGTATATATATCCCAAAATCACAAATTAGCTTCAAGGGATTTAATGTGTAGAAATGATGACATCCCCTTCATCTAGAGCCTCAATTCAGACATAGCAGCAGAGAGAAGAAAAAAAAACACTTACATGTAACATGTACTCAAAGCTGGAGTCACGTCAAACGTTGTGTGTTTTTGATAAGATCCATACTTGTAATATATAAGCAGCTTTTCATCACAGATTCTACTGCGTGTCCTCTGCTGTCCTAAGTGCTCCAGACACTGGCCTGACCCGGCATCAGTAGCAGCGTATGACAAACACAGAGTGCCTGTCCTCTCCTCTATGAGTGGGCCACCACCCAACAGGCTCCCATGACCCATAGTACAGTGCAACCTCAAAAGATTTGTCGGCTCAGAAGCCCCCGCGCCAGAAGCCAACAAGTTATCCCTTCATAAGTCAATCCAATGCATGAAGTCACCAGGTCATAGCAAGCAAACGGTATTTCACTGAGTTCCTGTCAGAGACGACCTTCGTGATCCTCCTTTTTTTTTATTTTAGTGGCGTCCCAGATAAGCTAGGTCAGCAGGCCTCTTCCAGTCAGAAACTTCACAAAGTGCCAATGAAACGACAACAAAAAAGGAAAAGGTATACTGACCTTATGAAATTGCACTACGCTGCACTGCTCAAAGACATGTTTTTATACATGGACATTTTATATACACAAATTTTTAAGTGAAAGGGTATTTTGTTTCAATGGGGGGGGTGGGAGGGGTATCGTCACTGCCCGGAAAAAAATGGGGTGTCAGGGACAGGGGTCAAGAACCTCTGGGGTTCCCCATTATTGGCAAGTGATCTGAACGATTCATGTCTCGCTCTCTCTGTCAGATGTTGTGCTAAAGACAGTGGTGCTGGCAGTTTAAGGCGTGTGGTACAGGAAGTACAGCGTGGTACTTAGCGGTGTTCAGTCACTTTGCCTTTCCATGGATGAGTGCCAAAGGCTGAGAGCAGAGCCAGCATTATTGCAGTGGTGGGAACACACCCAGCTCCCCAGTATCAGTTTGATAACACAAGTTGCTTTACATTGTTTCATTGCCTGGAGTCTTTTCTGTTTTTTTTTCACAGTTTTCACAAACTTTGTATCCTTAATACTCAGCTTTGTGCTTCCTTTAATAAAAAAACAAAACAAAAAAAGCTTCCTGCTTTTTTAACATTTTACTGAGCTGAGGTATTAAACGTGTACATACTGTTATTAGTGCTGGGTACCACTTTGAAGTATGTTACATTTGGTTTGGTGGTTGATTCGGTGTCAGATACCCGCTATCAGGTCTCGTCCTTCTCGCTGTTAGCAGCAGCAGGCCTCCAGGCCGGAGCTTTGGCTTGCAGAGAGCAGGACCCATGGAAAGGCCCTGGACTCTCCAGCCAGAGGTCCAAAAGCAGTTTCCTGTCCCATCTGGCCTGTGACAATCATGCACCCCAGTCTGTGTTGTTCAGAGCCTTGCTCTTAGACTGCTGCTGGCATCATCATGGTTGGGAAAAGACTTTTTTGTAAAATAAATGTGGGTATATAACATCTCTTGTGCTCAGATGAGGAGAAGGTTTCTGAATGCTTTTCCGTCTAAACGCTCGTGATTCCACCTGTGTGTAGGCGAAAAAGCAGGCAGGCGGTGAACGATATAGATATATTTGCTTTTTCAGGGCTTTTCTTGTACATAATGCAAAGTATAGAGATCCATGAGGCTTTTTCACATGTTTTGTTTGACGTATCTCTGTTATATGAAAAGGAAGCTTTTTTTTAACATAACAAATGCTCAAGATATCTTTCTTTCATTTTAAAATTGAGAGGCTATAGTGAACTTAAGTCAGTGTATATTGTAGCTTAGAGGCAAAGGAGAGAAAAGACAACCTGTTGAATGTAACTCTTGTTTAAAAAAAGTCTTTGTTTTTTTGTAGTGGTTGCGGGCTAGTTTGAATGGTGTGCTGTGACCTTGTAGTGCATCCTGATTTTTGGTATCCAAATTCTCAACCCACATGGACAGCTGTCGCCACTCTACTGAATCATAGCGATTAACACAACCATGCAGTATTGCTTTACTTTCTTACTTTGTGCAATGAGATGCTTAACAGTGGAACAAGAACGCGCTTTTAGGTGACATCAGGGCTCCTCGCTCATCCAGTTGTCTGTCTTTCACAGCCAAATGGTGATTTCCTTTTTGAGTATGTGTGGTTGTTGTTTGTGGTTGTGACATTTAAGTTTCTGTTCGGCAGGATAACTTTCAAGCTTTGATTACCTTGGAAATTGTTACCTACATAAATCTTTTTTCCTGCCCCACACATTCCAACAGACAGCATGTTTTTAGCTTCTAACGCTTGCCCACCATTTCCTTGTCACCACGGCAAATCATCTTCAATCACAGCGTCATTTGTCTGTTCTTGTTATCCAGCTTTACTGTGGTCGCACCCAAGCCTTTACCCAGCATATTAAGCTAAACTAAACCCTTGAAATGTGCATAAAAAAAAGCCTTTTATTTTTTCTCTCCAAAAATGTCAAAATGGACGTGCTGTTTTATTGAATGTCAAGAGTGTTCATTTGTGCGTAAAACAGCCGCAGCAGCGAAGCCAATAGATATCCTTCCAAATCACATGTATTGTATGCAATGGCAGCTCCACTCCTCTCCTGTTCTGTATTGTCTGTCCAGCCGTTTACCCAGTGTGTCTCTTGTCTCATCTGATGACCATTTTCTCTGTCGATGTGTTTTTGCAGAGCCTTACACCAGCTGCTGTGAAAACCAACTTCCGCTTTTTTTTTCTCCCATTCATTGATTGTCTGATTGAGTTTGAGATTGTTTTGCATGTCTAGCATCGCTCATTGTAAAGGAGATACAACACTGAAGGGTTTTATGTGTTAGATTCCCCCTGTCAGTATCCAGAAATTCAAGGCAGATGCACATTGTTTTCCTCCTAAGGTGAAACTAAAAATGCTGAGTGCAGGCCGACTCGCTCACCCAGTGCTGTGGGAAATGTGACGTCAGTCTAGGGGTCTTCACTGGAGGGCAACGTTCCTCTTGTGTGTGTGTGTGTGTGTGTGTGGGCTCAGCCTCTGGCCTTCATCAGCAGCCCCACACAAACGGAGGAAGCACTTTCTGAGGGGTGGTGCGCTCAAGGAGTATTTGTGTGAATGTCACGCCTTTGACTAGTGCTTGAAAAGATGGATGACCATGTATGATGCTGATAATGTGATTTTTGTGATGTAATGTGACAGAAAGAAAATAAACCTGAATGGAATCAGTCGGGTCTCTGGTTTTTCATCTTAAATAATGAACACATGATGTTCCTGATGTAGAGCTGACCACTTCATAGGCTTTTAATTACAAATCTAAAGAAAGAAATGAGATAAAGAAGAGAGATAGTCTGTTGCACCCTCTTGTGGACACTTGGAGCTTTGGCAGCCCCTGCAGCTTTCCAGCTGGCTTAAGACAATAAAAAAGGCACAACACACATAGGTCACTTCTTTACAGCAGCAATTTCAAAATTTATTGAGACTGATTGGAGTTTGCAAATAATAGTCAAGCTAATTCTTCCACTAAACATGAAGTCAGAAAGAGGCTTGGACGGCTGGCAGGCCTGACCCAACATCAAAACAGGAGGCTCATGGTTGACTGTAAAAATGTTTTGTGATCAGTACTATCAACCAAAAGAAAAATCTGCACAAGAGCACTTAAATCTGCCCAAAACAAAAACAGTGGTAAAAACAGGACAGGTTTTTTTTTTGGGGATTATTTTGCACATTTTGTTACAAACACAGGATTATGATAATAATCAATATAAATTCAGTATCATATTGAACAATATTCCCAATGAAAATAATCAAAACCTCAAGCTTCAAGTGTGACCTTTTACAAATGAAAGACCCTCTGGAACTTGAGGAGAAAATAAATAATATATAATAGTCATATAAATTCATATATATGAAGGTATACACACCACACTCTTAGTAGAAGAACAAAATCTAAAGTAAAAAGCGCCAATTTTGAAATATAGTATCATATACCCATATCTATGGCTTCATGATTTGCACGTGAGAATCAAGCTATACAGGCTAAAATGAGGATTGCAATTTGTACACATCTAAGAATACCCATATTCATCTGCAGTAGAGCAAACAGTTCCAGTTTTGCATTGAGTGGAATGAAACAGTTGTGTGCAGATGCCGAAGATGCCGCTTTGGTATGACAAAATGAACACAGGCATGCAGTTAAGACCACATAATCGAGGGCACAAAAGGTCAACACATTGTAGGAAAGGAAAATCTGCTCACCCATCTTGATTTGTCTTATTGAAGTTTTGTCTTCAAAAATGTTTTGCACCTCCAATCCGATCAGTTGCATTCTTCGATCTCTTGCCATTGATACAAATATCCATTCATCTCTCGGAAACACACTTTTTACAAGCACGCGGGTGAAATGTCATTGAGGCACATATCGAGGGGTTGATGGCAGACGGTTTCCTGAAGAACAACCCAGAATGAGGAAGTGGACAAAGAGTATAGGCTGTGAGAAGCGCACAGGGCCGGGGACTTGCAGATACATCCAGATGTCTCTCAGTGGCCAAAGCAGCACCAAAAGACAGAGATTTGTCACTGATCATGGGCTCCTTCCACACCCACTACTGACATTCATAAAAAAGAATCTACCACATTGTCTTTCTTCTTCTTCTTATTCTTCTTCTTTGTTTTTCCGAAGTACACCTTTTTTTCAATAATGGGTCAAACAAAAACGCAATAAATAACAAATAAAAATGCTGGACATGAAGAAAACGTTGCAAACTGTACTGAGAGTTTCTCGGCTGGGCGGATGGTGCAGATCACGGCACCTGTAGCAGAGAGGCCTTACGTGCCTTACAACAACTTGTTTCCCAGAGTAACTACTGCAGCACTCACTTCCCCTTTTCTCTTTTTTTTCCCTTTAAGATTAACTCAGGCCAGTAAAACACCAGCTAGTAGAAATACAGAATGTTGACTCAACACACTCCTATCCGAGAAAGTGTTTGTCTACACAATGCATCGCCATTTGACTGAGTGTTATTCGGGCCACGAGCCAGTAGAAAACCAAAGATGAACTAAATCTGCTTGGCTTTTTTAAGATGCACCCTTCAAAAGCTAGCTTGTCCTCTCACACAGCCCTTCATATTCACGATAATAAAATAACACATGTGCACTTCATCAAACTGTGACAAAAAAGTGACAGGCTCAAAAATAAAAACAACCCAACAACGAAACAGTTTACCACAACAAGAAATCTAAAAGCACCTGCACACAGACTGTGAAACAAAATCACTTCATGTTTACAAAGTACTAGATTGTTTTTGGTTCGATAATAATCAATTAGTGTACATTAGTGATGCAAAAGCATGTGCGAATACACGTTTCAATCAATATCTAACAGAGAAGTGGGACGGTGAGTGTGTTTTCCCTGTTGGTAAAAAAGCAAATACGACAGAAAAAGCGTAAACTGGCACAATAAAAGGTTGATAAAAGCCCCATGGCTTGCTGTCCACAACAAGGCAAAGTATAAAAGCTTTTTTTGTCTTGTACAAGATATGAAACATTAAAAAAGGAAGAAAAAAAGAAACACACCATAAAGCTTAGCATCCAGCACTTAATAATAATTCATAATAGTAACATCAACAACAGTAATCATATTTCTGATATTCATAATAATAAGACATGTCAATGGCGTCTTTTGAATTGTCAACAACTTTGCCAAAAAACATGGAAATAATCTTTAAAATTAATGTAGAACTTTTTTGGACTCTGAACACTCATTCTTGCATTTAAACACCCATCCTGTTCCCAAGCAACACACACAGAAAAAGGAGAGAATGACTTTCCAAAAATCAGGAATCCACAAACAAGTTTCTCAATAAATAACAAATTGATAATACACTCTCTACAAATACTGAAACTCCGATTATCAAGAACAACTCTGACCCCTTTTTCAATTTTTTAAACCTTTCAAAGTCAGAATAAAAAAATCAACAAAAGAAAAATTAACCATGGAAAGAGTCTGCATAATCTGTATCCATAAACTGGAATTACATGAATAACTAAGGGGGAAAAACTGAACAAAGGCAGCTCCTTCTCAGGTGTGAGAGACTTGGCTCTCAGGTCCAATCATCACAACCTCCAGTGTGAGAGACACTGAACCAGAGACAGCAAGAGAGACAAAAAGCACTATTAGTGTCGGATAGGTCCACTGCCTACTGATTTATAAGACTGAAAAGCAGTAACTGATGTCCACTTTGTGTATTATTACATTTAAAAGTAATGAATTGTGAAAGCACTGTTAAGTCTTTCTGTCTCTCTCTGTCCCAAACAGCCTCTCTCTTAAATTCCAATAATCACATATGTACATTTGTCAGATCTCTTGTATCTGCTGGAATGGACTGATAGAAACCAGGTGGTGAAGTTATGTGAAGAAAAAATTAAGGATCCCACTGAAAGGCATAGGCTATATGAACAGCAATCTGCACAAAGATTCAGTGATTTCTATTTCCTGTTAACAGTCAAGAGGACATAAAATATATCCTTAAAGGTAGGTGCGGTCACCGAGTTGTTTAGGTAAGTAAAGAAAGATCGGATCAAAAATGTAAACCACCGGTTCAGGGCTTTGATAGAAGTCAGTTGTAATTAAAGTGCAAGTCTGTGGCAGTAGGACTCTGCATCATCAGTGTGCCAGAGGGCTTCCCAGTCCCCCGACACTCATATCTTTGCAATAGATTTAGAAATCTCCCTTCACTTGTGGAGAGATACTTTCCCCAGAAAACCTAACAGCTGAGGAGGAACCAAGACGCTCGTCTTCCAGGCTGTTTCCCTACTCTGACTGTGATCCTTGGTTTCCATGGTGATTGTGATGGCAAACATACAAAGTTGCAGCCTAGTGTCGACTGTGCCCTTGGCAGCGTCCTCACTGGTTTTCATTGCGACAGAGTAGAAAAAACTGCTGGACTCTGGCCTGAACCCTCAAGAAAAAGAAACACAAAAACACTGCATCTGAAGTAAAGGAGGTAAGCAGAAAAAGCCTTGCACTCGAGCCGTCTCTTCGTCACTCTTCTTCTATGGCAATCGGGGTTGTGGATAGCATCCATTGTCTGTGTGTGTGTGTGTGTGTGTGTGTGTGTCTATGTTTTATGTGTTACTCAGAATGTTGTTAGAGCATTGTTGCGCATCACCCTCAGCATTTCCCTTAAAAGGAAAAAGCCTGTCCACTGTTGGACGAATGGGTAAAGAGAGCAGACAGATCTGCACGAGAGATCGCAAGAGATCTTCAGAGATTGGTTGGCGAGCCATCAACTTTAGCCCGACGGGTTCTAGGAGATCCAGGAAAAGTCCCTTTCACTCCCATTCTGCTGCTCGCCCTCCTGAGCCGAGGAGTCGCTCTCCTCTTTCTCATTGTCCAGTGCTCCGTGTGCCTCAGCGGTCATGCCCGAGTCCTTCCACTTCCCCCCTTCTTCCTCCCCCTCGGCCAGGATCTCCCCGTCCCCCTCGACCATCATCTCCTCCTCCCCGTCTCCGTCCCCGTCGCACTCTGCCTGGTCATCGTGGAAACGATCCCCCGGATACAGCTCCTCCTCGGGTGAGATATCTCCACCCACCTCCCCGTTGTGGTCCAGCAGGGCGGCCATCCCCCGGCCGGAGCAGTCGGCGCAGACCCCGTGGCGACGGGAGCCGTGTTTTATCCCCACGCTGGCTGCCGACATGAAGACGCGGCTGCACACCTTACACACATACTTCTTGTCTTTGCTGTGGACCTGCGGGACCAAAGACCGATCATTTCACCATTTGAATCCACGCGCCCCTTTTTCAAAGTAGATGCCGTTTACTGCCCTCTAGAGGTGGCTACTTGGGTTTACTCACCAGTGTGTGCCTCTTCATGTGCTCCCGTCTGGTGAACTTCTTGCCACAGATTTCACAGGGGTAGGGCCTCTCGCCAGTGTGGGAGCGCATGTGCCTCTTAAGGATGCACTGGTGCATAGCAGAGAAACTGCAGTAGGGGCACTTGAACTTTTTGCGGATCACTGTGAAGTCGTTCACTGCAAAGACAGAAAGAAAAGGCGGGGGGGGGCACAGGGAAGGAAAGAGATAAGTGTTGACTGACACTCGTTTAGATAAACCAAGAAGTCGCTTTCAGTTTTTGCATTTAATTAGCAGCACAGGCTAGAAATGTACCATCAATTCCCAGGGTCATCCCAATCCCAGTCAAAGCTACAGTTGCCCTGGCAACAGCTCTTCCTCCATACTAAAGCAATAAAGGCATAGAGATACTGTAAACACATGACACAACAGTCAGTCTGCCTTAGTTACTCTAGAAGGTCTCTATAAAAACACAGACAGAAAGGCAAACAAGGACAAGACAAGAAAAATAAAATTACTCGCACAAAGGGAGGGAAATAAAATCACACAAAGCAGAACACACTACACAAGACTGAAAGATCTGAAGTGGGTTTCTGTATAAAAGTCCAACACACACTGCACACACATACAGCACACAGAGGATGGGCTAAACACACCGGAAAAGGTTAGAGGGTGATCCAAAATAATTACCTCCATCTGCTAATCGACTTCTGCTCTGATTAAACGTTTGACAGCACAAGCAACAAAAAAAAAAGAAAAAAAAGTGCAAGTGCACATGAACTGCACAACAGAGTCTGGCATCCAGATTGTACAATGTTCTTGTGAATGTATGTGTGAACATATATATAAGGGGAAAAAGGAGCTACAGCAAGGTTTTTCTTTTTTTAATGTTTTCAATAATAATTTAATGACAGCATACATCTACAAGCAGACTTCCAATTTGTTTTTAAAAAAGTACAGATCTCTGAACATTACATGGGTTTTCAAGGATAAATTATTCAATCTAGCATCACATTTCTCTCAGTATTTATAACACTTATACAGACTTATACATAACAAACTGACAGTTGCTTTCCATTTCCATTTCTCTACAGAGTTCCTGATTAGTTTCCTGACTTCCCTGAGCCTGCCAGTCCGTTTCAGCTGCTGGCTGGGACAGAGTGTGCTACCTGACAAAGGGAATTTGTTAAGCATTTGGCATTTAGGAGCTCCCTGTGTATAACATGTTCATAGACAGATGCCAGCAAGGGGAACAGATTCCCAGTGGACACACGTTTTGATTTTCTGAGGTGCGTGTGTATCACAGTTCAGTTGCGCTGGAGTGATGTTTGGAGGTAAACATAAGCGGGTGTGTTTCTTTGGGTATGATTCTCACAGTATTAATGTACACAATAAACTTTTATGGGTGAATTGGAAAAAGGCAATGTTTTGTTCCAGGCTTTACTGTGAACCCAAACCAGAAACGTTGGCAGAAACTGGTGTGAATTTACATTTTTCAGGATTTTCAAGCTTGTGCACGCTTGTCAACATCCTCCTCTTGATTTACTCCTCGCCAACTTCCTAACCATTGTGCTGCGTTTTGCCACTTGTCTTGCTTTATCTCCTCATTTCTGCCATGAGCTCACAACCACATCATTGTTGCTCTGCAGCTGTGACATCACTGAGCTCATCTGGTTTAAAGGGCATCTGCCCCTCGGCCCCAACCTCCCCTTCAGATGGAGGGTCAGAGGTTAAGAGGGGCCGGAGCCATGAATGGCCAATTGCTGCCCAGCTCCTGCTACTCAGTCATTTTAAGACTTACAGATTTTCGGACAGAGGAGATGGTCAGAGAAAAGAGAGGATATGACACCACCCAACCCCCATCTGGCCTATCCTTTTAGCAGGTTTAGTCTCTTTGGGCACATCTCTTCCATCACAGTACAGCACAAATCAACAATCTGATTGAAAGAATTCATGTCAGACTGATGACTGAAAAGCATGCGTTTCCGGTAAATGTGTATCTTTTCTAGAATTACGTTTTCCTTTTTTCTCTTCTTTATATTTTTTCTTTCTATTCAAAGTTCTCACAAGACTGTACTGAACACTGACCAAGGTGCAGATCACATCGTCTGATACGAGGCATTCTCACGATGCAACGCCACAAACTTCCTGCAGGTGGTGTGGTTGTTTGAGCTGTGGCGCCCACAAACGCCTGACAGGTATGAACTCTCTTTGAATGTGTTTGTGTGTGTAATGCAGGGGCGGACGCAAAGATTACGATCTCTTTGCCAAAAAAGGAGATCAAGGTTTGGTCAGACTGGTCGACTGGCGACAAAGAAACCAGACAAGTGGTTCAGTTTGAGTGGGTGGGAAGACACCCCCTGCTTCTTCATTCGGCACTGCACTGTGAAGTAATTCACCTGGATGTGGTGCTAGTCAGTGCTCACTGAAACTCTTCACAGGTTGTAAAATATCACAAATAATGTCAGTAAAGACAAATTGTTGCTTGCATAGAAACTATAGCTTTGTGACACATATGGTGTCGGTTTAAAATAAGTCTTCTCTTTACACAATAATAATGCCACATAATCTAACACTGTATAAAAAGTGTCCCACAGTTTTGACCTTAGAAGAAGTTAGTCCATTGTGAGTGCGAGAAACATCACAATGCAATTTTATTTTGGCATGTTCATGAACACAAAGAAAGGTAAACTGTGAACTGATCGGTGGGACAGATGGGTATGAACGAATCTACAGGCCTTCGATGTCAATGTGCCCGTTGTGATTGTCAACTTTCATGTTTTGAGTCAGCCGCCACAGTGGGTCTGTAAGCCCACCCTGAGACATTTCCATTCCGGAGCTGCCACCCAGCAGAGCTCCTGGAACCAACGCCACCTGGCAGCACACTTTAACATGTGTTGCCAGGTTTTTCTGGGTGCTAAAAGCCTTGGCACAGGCTGGACAGGTGTGCCCTCTCTCTTTGGAGTGCACGGATGACAGGTGCCTGTGCAGGTCTGTGCGGTCTCTGAAGTGTTTCAGGCAGTAAACGCACTGCATCAGCTTTTTCTTGTAGTGGATGGTCTTCTCGTGGCGGTCTGCGTTGGATTTGAGCGTGAAGCTGGCCGGGCACTGGGAGCAGAAGTAGCGCGCTGACATGGGCTCGCCCATGGCGGAGCGGAAGAGAGACTGGCCGAAGAGGGGGGGCTGGACTTGTGGGTGGTGATGGGGCTGGATAGGTTGACAGTGTGGACCTTGCATGTTGGGCCAGTCCAGAGACAAGGCCATTAGAGACAGAGTGTGTTGGTACTCGTGTTCCCTGAGATGCTCCAGGCTGCTGAACAGCCGCTTGCACAGGGAGCAGGCAAACCCCTGTGAGGGCCAGGCACAGCGCTCTGGCAGAACTCTCTCCCCTGATCCAGCTTCGTCACCCACCACCAGCAGCCCTTTAGTTCCTCTGCCAGCTACGGACACTGACGCAGGCACAGTCAAGCCACCAGCACAGCTCCCCTCGCCCATCTGATCCCTCTCCACAGGACACTCCTCTCCTTCCAAGGCTGAAGAAGAGAGCAGGAGGATGAGGGTTAGTGTGAGAAACAGTGAGGAACAAACTCTTCTGTTACCAAGGAATAACAATAACTTTTAAAAACATACCTCTGATGCACTCGCTGGTATCTTCTTTATCTTTTATGTCCTCCTGTAGACACAAAACATCATCATTATCTCACAAGCGTGCCTTGATACAGTCTGTATGGAATGGTGCTTGGGCATGCAAGACTAAAGACGGTGGCAACTTTTTGAACAATGCAAAAATAAAGACATGAGAGCGAAAAAAAAGTGAAATTAATAAGAGGAAAAACAAGATCATGATTAGTCAAAGACAAGTTTGAGGTTGGAGAGCAAACATAAGAGACACAAGACAACCACACAACCCTTTTGGGAGGTGCATCAAACACCTGTCCCCACTCTTACCTCTCCTCTGCAACCCAGCTAAGTTCTACCCCTCCTCTATACAACCCATGCTCCTGCCATTCCTTCACCCTCGCCCACTTTCTCAGCCCCCCCCCCCCCACTCCTCTCTAAGAACAGAACACCCTGCACTGGGCAAACAGATGGCTTGTCCGTAGAGATAGGGAGGCTTGTTGGGAGGCAGGTCCACTGAAATCAAATGCTGCTCCTAAATGCTCGCAGCATACACACAGAGCCTGGCACAAAATACACATATACACATGCTTTCACAGACACACACACGCACACACACACACACAGGCATTCGTACACACATCAAGCAGAACAAACAATTTCCTGAGCCGCAAGAGCAAACCTCTCGTTGTCTACTAGTATTGATTCTACTGAGTCTCATCACACTACCTTGCCCGTTATCTGCCATCTCTAAGCATACGCTGCCATTGTGACTAGATGTGCTATCTCAGATGTAACCCATATAAACCGCATTACTGCTAATGCTACGCAAGGACTCCTGGCTTTAGGGCGAACTCAGGTCTAGCTATATTAAAAGATTGTCTGAGGAGGGAGGCAAGAGTGCAGAGTGACGGCAAACTGAAAGAAAAGGGAAAGCAAATAAAGCACACAGAAAAGAAAGGCAAACAAAAAACAGATAGCATTGCTCTTCCAGCGCAGCAGGAAATGTGCCAGATTCCACAAAGAGAATGAAAGACAGAGAGGGGTTGAGCAATGATGCACTCTTGTGTTTAAAAAAACCCTGCATTGATAAAAAAAATAATAACCCCATGAACCCTCAGGTTTCCTAACCCCACCTCCCACAGAAGATCAGTGGTTAGTTTTCGTCACAGCTCAACCCCTTCTCAGAGTGTGTATGTGAGTGTGTAGAGGCAGGAGGAAGCTGCCCCCTGGACGCTCATCTCCTCTCCGTGTTACAAACTTTGGGTGAAAGGAGCGGTACCCAGAGAGCAGCCTCTGCCCTGGAGCTGAGCCAGGCCCGGTGCGCTTACCTGAGGCAGTGCGGAGGGTTCCGGACCCTCGGGGGGGTCTTCCGTTTCCATGTCCGTTTCTTCCGAGTGTAGTGGGAGCGCCCCAGCCCGCAGACCAGGGGCCTCCAGGGGCCGGGGCTCAGAGGGGTGCAGTGGCGTGGGTGGAGTGGGTGGGCAGTGTGCTGATGTTGATGATGGCGGGAGTGGTGGTGATGATGGTGGGAGATGGGGAGGAAGAAGAGGAAGAGGAGGAGAAGAGGAGCCAGCGCCCTGTTTGTTATGAATAGTGGCCCCTGGCCGGAGCGTGCTGCAGTAGCTGTTGGAGCGGAGCCCTGAGGAGCACAGGAAACGAGTCTCACCCACCCACTCACGTACAACTGCAACTCTGCTAGCAGCTGGCCACCAGAACACAACGGCAGAGAGTGGGCAGGGGGCACACAGAGGCTGCCAGTGGTACACTATCAAACTCTGTGGAGAGGGGGAGGAAGAAAAACTCTGAAGTTTCACTTTCCACCAGCCAAGGGGAAAGGGTTAGGGCTTCTCTTCTCTCTTTCTCTCTCTTTATTTTTTTTTTTCCTTTCGCTCCTCTGCTCTCCTTCTCCTTCCACCCACATGCGTGTACAAAGGATGGCAGCATGTGTGTGTTTTGTGAGAGAGTGTGCAAAGTTGTGCGAGCAGTAAAACGCATATAAGTAGAAGGCTTGAGGATCCTCTGTAGCATGGAGAGAAATAGTTTTTGGAGAGGAGCCATCTTGCAACTCCTTTTTTTTTTTCTTCTTGTGTTTTTGTTCACACGGGGGGAAAGGACGACTACATGAACCATGTAGGATGTTTACCAGCAAGTTGTTTGGGTGCGTTGGATGAAGAATTTTGAATTTCTCACAGATCGTTTAGCTTTCCATTGTCACTCATGCATAACATCTTATAGACCATCAGCTTGCACGGAAATTGAAATTCTTTTAGTCGTGTTTCGTCTTTTTTTTTTTTGTTTGATTCATATAATGCATCCATGGGGGTATAGGTTACTGCAATTTGTCCAAGACAATGTGTGTGAGTGCAGACAGCATTTCAGGGAATGTGTCCAGAGTAATGCAGTGGGTTAGCCATTCATTAGCCATCGCCCTCCTCTGCGTAACGGACAGAATCACACGTCCATGAGGCTCAACCGTGGACAGATTCCTGGAATGTCAAACTACCGCGCCCAACACTCCCCACTCCCACTTACTGAGCGCACAAATAAATGCTGAGCTCCCTATGTCCTCTTCAGCAGCCTAACACTAACAGGATAAACGACATTAAGAGAGGGTAAAAAGTGGAAAGGAATAAGGAATAAGCAACAGGTGAGGGGCAATAGCTCATTAACTAATGGTCTTCTGGCGGAAGACAACTGTCAGGAAAGGACCTTCAGCCGTTTACAAAGTTAGTTGGATTTAGACAGTGTTGGTTTAAGTCTCTCACAGAAGTACGATATAAAAATGTATATTTCACAATCATTCATCGCTGATTTCAAAATCAAAGTTGTATTTTTAAGTATAAGAAGGCCTTTCACCAAAACGAGGACAGCATGGAATCGAAACGTAAGGGAGTTTATAAACTTTAGGGGAGACATAATTACCCGCTGTCAACTAAAACTTCATACGTCTGAATGAATAAATATATTTAACTTGAATTACATGGTTTTTATTTTTGCACTCAAATATTAGTGGCAATATAGTTCACTAAATCTGAAAAATCTCCCATAAATATGTAACTTGTAGAAAAGTTATACCACACATAGCACAACACATAATACACATAATAATACATTTAAATCAATCCGTTTCAAGCAGAGTATAGTCAGTATCACATCTGAAATATATTTCACTGTGAAACTATTAACAGATTTGCATATCAGAATTTTCCCCCCTTCCTCTAAAAATGCTTCACTTTTTTAGTGGTTCAAACTTCATTGCCTACAAAAGAAAGTAATTAAGTTTGAACCACTTTATACGCCAACAAGTATATATTTTTTACAAATGACTTTTTATTGAGGTAATATCTTTTAATCTTCTGCATTTAATTGTAGTATGTTAAGTTTGTCAGTCTCTAAGTGTTTTACATCCTTCTGCAGGTGAGATCTCCAGAAAGGTCCAAGCAGTAACAAGAAGTTTAAAAAAAAACAAAAAAAAAACAGGACTGCACTGAAGTAATTTTCTGTCTGTCATAGACACTTCTTTACAATAGCCTTTCCTGTACTAATTGTTAATAATCTTTGGCTAAGTCATGGTTTAGAATTAGAATAAAACAAAATTAAATGTTACTCTGAAAATATCTGTAGAGCAGCTAAAGACCCACTGGGTACTATTGTACATGATGAGTCAAAAGTAGGCATGAAATGATGAGAGCTGATAGTGGAGAAAAAAAGCTAATTGATGTCAGTATGATTTGTATAGTTAATTGGATGCTCTTTTTCACCATATGTGGAGGCAGCACGGGCAGGCCGTGGTCCTACAAAATCCCATTGTTAAACACTTACTGTGTTACGCACAGAAGGGTAGAGGGGTTAAATCCCAATGATCTTAATTGGATTTTGGAAGGCTGACAGACGTAATGACAGTTTCACCGTATTCTTGGGGTTCCACCCGGAATTTGGGATTAACTTTGTGTCCTACGCAAAGCCACCGGCGGTGCATTTGAATTGCATGCTCTGTCCACAAAGAGGAACGTGATTCAGTTTGACTTGCAAAACAAGATATGAAGTGATTAAACCGCGGAAAATTGATAGTCAGTTTAGTCTGATTTTCAGGCGTTATCTGGAAGTGAATATTTGGAAGAGACATATTTCATCAAACAGTCTGCTATAGAGAAAAGTGAGAGAGATGGGAAGGAGAGACGGAGTGGGAGACAGAAGCTCTGTGTCAAGGCCTTGTGCTGATGTTTAGTGGTCCCTCTTGAATTGGGCCAGGTGACCTTGCTCTACCTCCTCTCTGCCTAGATCAATACTTCCCCAAGATTTTAAAGCAACATGCTTTGATGCTCCCCAGCAGAAGTAAAAGAGGGGGAAAAGAGCCAGGAGTGAGACAAATAGGGAGGAACTGCAAAAGCCGTCCAGGAGGGGAGGGAGAGTGTGAGGGATGAGTGTTAAGGAAGGGTGAAGGAGAAATAGATAGGGGGAGGGAGGGAGGGATGGTGTGAGGGGAGAGTACAGGAGGAAAAAATGGACAGGAAGGATGTTAAGCAGGGGTGAAGGAGAAGCAGGGAGGAGATGGGGGAAAAGGGCAGAGGGTGGGAGGGAGGGAACAGTGATCTGTCAAACTAGGCAGACTTTTCCTCCGCCCAGTAATCTGAGGTACAATGTTTGTTTATTCTCCTTCCTCATTTAGACACAGGGACAGACCTGGGGTGGGAGGGGAGGTTGTTGGCCATCTTGACGAGCCCATTTCCCCAACCCCTATTGTGCAGAGAATACAAAATAGGGCTTGGCTAACCAAAAACCCTCCCTGAGGTTTCTTTGGTGACAGCTGAAATACTGACACAGGGCTCAGTCAACACGAGTTTCTATGCAAAGAGCAAATGATTAACATTCTCTAAATTCTCTTATTCATATAGTCAAGGCTGACTGTATCTGTAGAGTCTGCGTGTGTATCAAAAAGCCTCCTCTATTCTCTGATGCTGTCTATCCATGGAGTGACAGCATCTGATTCTCCTCTTTAAGCCAACAGAAACATCTCAATCCCACACACTTAACACTTACACAAAAGGGGTGATGTGATGTGCGCGTGTGAGTGCATGTGATTGCAAACGTGTGTTTTCGTCTATTCAGGCTTTTATATTGTAGGTGAGTGGGGCTCAACTCAATAGACATGACTGGGCTCAGAGTTGTACCCTTCCACTGCTTTTCTTCCGCTCACAAATACAGACAGAACTCAGGACAAAAGATCCAATTACTTGCCAGTAAAAGCAAAAGAAACAAACCCACAAGTTGAAAAAAGAAAATGTGCCCACGCGGACCTGGACTCCAGCAAATATATGCTCACGCACGAGAATGCACACATGTACACACGCTGACAGTTTAACACCGACACGGAGTTGCAAAGAAACAAACTGAATAAGGACATATCTGGTTATAGACAAATGGAGCACATATTCTGCAGCTTATTAATTAACAACAGAGCCAAAACGGTTTATTCAACTATTTGTGGAAGATTTTAAGTGGACGATTTTCGCTGAAACACAGAAAAAAAAATGTAACCGCTGGAAATAAGGTTATTACATGCATCACAATCAAAATGTGGTCGTTAATACTTCAAGCTTGATTGTTGTTGTTCTAAATACGTTTATCTTAATCATACATTTATAAGATGTAAGATTTTCTTTTTAAAAGACAGTCCACCATTTGAAAGAGCTTTCAACAACGTGCAATGGTTTATTTTATGGCTTAGCAAAGCAACATGAGCAAATAGATATCTGAACTACTGTTCAGTAGTTGTGTTATTTTGATGGCGTGAAATGCAGCTGTAGACGCACTGATATGCACGTAGAAGCACACACATTTTCTCAAGACAGCAAGAGTGGTCCCATCTAAATGTTCACTCACTGAGTCATTGATGGGTAGTCATCACTTGTATTGTCACACAAAATAGTTACACACTCAAGTGGCAATGTGCACACATATTTGGAGCTATTCCAACACGCTGGCTGATGGGTGTAAACACTGCTGCAGAGGGCTCTCACAGCTGTGTGCTGCACCACATGAGGCCACATATGCAGGCACTCAAAGACACACGGGAAGATTTTAATTTGCGTTAATCTGTGCTGTTAGATAGATTAGGATGTGTTGTTCAGTTGTGAGTAACAACCGGTGTGAGCACTATTTCAGTAAATGGTTACTTACAAGACAGGGAGTGTCCTCCTTTGGGTAGGTACTCGTACAGCAAGGGGTTATCATCTCCCATCATCTCCGCCCGCAGTGACAACAGGCTGTTCTTACTCATCAGTGCTGCTTTCAGGTTGGCCACAGATGAGATCCCTCCACCTCGGCCTCCTCCGCCGGCCTCCTCTGATTCGTTGGTGCCCAGGAAGCCAGGTTCTGTGGTTAGCGCCTCTTCTTGTTTGAGGAAGAAGTCGAGGCGCTCGCCACGGCTGTCTGAGCTGTTGGGTTCGGTCACGTCTACGCCTGAAGAGAAATGAGGTAACAGGGAATGCAGGTGTCACTCACTGAAATTTCTGGTTTTCAGTCTCGAGCCTTCTCGAAAAAAACACAATTGAATTTAATTGGAGATCTGACACGCTTCTCCATGGGCTGAAAGGCCTGTCACTCCCTACAAAGGGCATAAAAGGGGTGATGTAACAACAGAAAACCCCCAAAACGTTCTTTCAAAGTTGTCACTTTTTTCATTTATGCTTCACCTGACGGTAATATGGCTTCAGAGCAAAAAGTAACGGAGCACATTAAAACCCTCTGCTTCAGACCTCTCAGTTCCGCCGTACAGGCATTTTCAGTGGCGGCTCCCAACACGTCACGGCTCTTATTCATCTCCTTCCTTCCTAGACTCCCTAACGTACCTCATCATAGCCAGGCAACAAAAATATAGGGAGATCATAAAGAGACAGCGAGCGCAAAGGCAGTCACAGACGTGGTGTGTGTGTATTTGCTTGTGTGTGTGTGTGTGCATTCAGCCATCAGAGTCGCTGTTAGTGTAGAGAAGCTGTCAGCAGTAGACATGTCGCTCTAGGTTCCACTGTAGATCTACAAGACTGTCAGACCACACTGCTGACGACAGCTCCGCTCAGTACTAGATCACAAGAACACGCACACACATCCACAACACACACTTTTGCTGCCTCTTAATTGACATTTAACTGATGACAGGTTGCTTTCTCTAACAAAGACATAGAAAAAAACAACAACACACACAGACACAGACACACGCACAGGCCGCATCACTGGATTAAAGTCTTTGAAAGAATAGCATGTCTACAACGAAAGCAAACACACAGACTTCCGAACAGCATTGCCGTCTTGCTTTAAAGGGGGAGAGTATATAATTATGTGTGACTATTTTTGGACAAAAACCTTCTGGTACCCTAATATGCCGTAGCTGCTTTTCCATAATGGCCCGTGCAGTAACGAATGAAATATTCTTGTAGCTTAAGAGTATTAAAGACGTAAAAAAAAAAGGAGAAGAGACACAAAGTTAAAAGCATAGAATGAGAGTAAGAAAACAAAATTGTGCATTTTGACTGCAGTCAGGTGGGTCTAAGTGCCTCTCTATTGCTGAGGGAATCAAGGTGACGGAACGAAAACGGTAGTTTGCCTCCCCGTCTGGAATACCGATGGATGTGCAGGGTTCTGACAGCCAGTTAACCCCCCCCCCCACAAACAGTCATTCACTTTTCATGCTGAGTGAAGATAATAATCACTGATCAGATGGATGCACGTTCTGGATGCGCTGTCGCATGCACATATATAGATCTGAGCTGTGTAACGCATGAACAAGACCAGACAAGACTGGAGAAAAGTAATAGAGTATGACAGACATGAAGACACGTATGGAGTGGTCAGATTTCACCCAACAAATGTTCAAAAATGGGGGATTAAGTTGGAGAAGAAAGAGGATAGGACGGAGAGGAAAAAGAATGATAAAGAAAAAGGCAGGGGAGAAACGAAGCGGGGGTGTGGAACAGTGGAGGAAGCTCAGAAGATAGACACAAAAAAACACACATGCTGCATCCAAACACCACCATCCCCACTCACACACACACAAAGTTAATTAAGGAGGGGGTGTAGGGGTTGGCGAAAGGGGCATGAGGTGCAGGAATTCATTAGAGCTCTGCCCCCTCCTTCAGTGGGCAGCCCAGCAGCCACAGGAGTCAATCAATAACATAGATCTGCTGTTGGCCAACAACAACAACACACATACACACACACACACACACACATATATGGAGTGAGAAGAGATAGACAAATGAAAGGAGAAGAAGCGAAAAAGGGAGAGAAAAGAGCGGCATCTCTGACCCCCATCTCCCTCCACTCATCTGTTCATTGAATGAGTGAATGACCCCTGACCACTTTTCCCAGCATCTTCAGGACACATGCATTTACAGATGAAACATGTCCCCCTCCTTGAGTCATAGAGTATAACAATATTTCAGTCAGACAGCATTCTCCACATTAAATAGTAGACTAAGGGACAATTGGTTGCGTCATGATTTTCTCGCAGACACCAGTCAAACTTTGGTATTATACGAAAATGTGTGTAATTTGTGTAACACTTAAGCGAATGACTGACTGAGCTTCTGATGTGCATTAAACAGCCCCTGTTTTCTGAGGACATATCCGCATATCCGAGGCTAAGCGTGAGATATCAGAAATTAGTATTCAGCTGACCGCAAACAGGCTTTCGCACCACATAATCAGAATAAACTACATAATCCCCCCTTCACTTATGTAAGCTTTATCAGGCGTGCGTAGAGGATGTTTTTTCCCTAAACCTCAGCCTGTTCTGACAGATAAAATCATTTACCACACCAGAAACAGTTGCACCTAATCCAAAACATGCAGCTTATGGATTTCATCATACGTTTGCCTGGTTTGGTTGAGGATTTATAGACACACACATTGTTGTGTCTTTCAAAGGCAATAGGTTTATCCTGACTTTTAGAGACACTGAAGTTACATCATTCCTTTGTGCGCATATGCTCAGTGTTAACATGCTGGTTGTCATGAGACAACCTATGAATATCAATAGCAAAGAATATTCCTTTGAACTATATGGTCAGATACAAAAAACAATGGCAATTTTTTCTTTTCATCATTTTCCCCCTGCTTTCTTCCTCCTTTACAGTGAAAGAAATTTTCATTTTCTCCTTCATAAAAGAGTCCGAATAATTTCGATTTCTGCTTTCTGAAGAGATCCTCCGTTTAATTTGGTTGCCATGGTAGCCAGGCACCCTTGGCTTCAACATTTATGCTAAATAAAACCCCCTTTTAAAAGGAGAGACAAATATGTGGAAATGGTGGTTCTCTTTGTTCATGTGTGTTTATGTGAGATTATTTGTGTGTGTGTGTGATACAGCAAGCCATGTAGGAGCTTGAGAGTGAAAAAGAAGGAAGGAGACTTTGAATAAAGAACAAGCGCTGAGCCGTATTTTAAATACATCGTGAGGAATACTGCATTTAGATGGCCGATGGATGGATAGTACAGTTTGAAATTCAGTGGTTGGTGCACTGTATACCTCAGCGAAGTGCACGTATGTGTGTGTTTGTATTTCACAAGGGGAGTCGTGTTATTAGAGTGCGCACTTTGGCGCGGTAAAAAGAGGTGAGAAGGCCTGGAAAGGGAGGAAAAGGTCCGCTGACCCAGTTTGACCTCTGATCCTCTGTTCTGTTTGTGTGTAGCAAGTTGTGTGAGAGTGTGTATATTTCCTTGCACAAATGAAAATGAACGCTGTTGTGTGAGGGAGATTCCATTTTTACAAAAACACAGGTTTTGACAGATAAACACTGGGGGGGAAAAAATGATACACATCCACTCCTTTCTCCAAAACCATGACTTGGCTGATTATGGACGCGCTCCTCAAACACCTTAAGTCACACACACATATATGCTCAAATCAACAGAGACAGTAGCCAAACACAACGAGGAGGAAAAAGTCCAGGGTGGTTAAGCAATGAGTTAGTGAGGCTTGTCAACCACAAGAGAGCTGTCAGGGAAGAAAGTAGAGCTAGTGTGCGTGTTTGAGTGTGGCAGAGTGCAAACAAAGGAGGAAGACTATCAAACCGTGTATTCTTGTGTGTATGCGTGTGTGTGTGTTTGTGTGACAGACACAGACAGAGAAAAGCCTTGCTCCGAGTCGGCCTGGTTAATGGCTCGGCCAGCCTGAGGTTGAAAGGGACGAGGCATCACAACAGCTATGTTGCTAAAAGACTCCCCCGCTCGCAGTGTTGTGTACGCAACGTTACGCCGTCATGCGTCAGAGCGAAAAGACCTCTCCATTTAATAAAAACAGCTCCTTACAATGAGCGTGTGATTGGAGCATGTTTGTCCTCAAGTGGACAAAGAGGGGAGGTGAAACTTGCTTCCTCAGCATGCCAGAGTTTGAGAGGGTAAAAAAGTAATTTCAGCCGAGAAGGGGGAGTGAGGCACTAAAACAGCTCAAGAATTCAGAGGCAATTTAAAAAGCAGTGTGGGAGAGGGGAATGAAAAAAATGCTGGGTTAAAAAGGAGGGAGGATGGAAAGTAAAAGAGGCTGTTATTCTCTCTCCCTCTGTTGTTTTTTAGGGACTAGCCGGGCCGCAACCTCCTGGAGAGATAGGGAAGGGTGGGTGGTGGTGGTGGTGGTGGTGGTGGAGCGGTGTGTGTGGATAGAGAGGGCAAGCATAAATCAAGCAGAGCCTGAAGGCTTTAGTGGAGGGAGGGACAGAGGGAAGAGAGTGGAAAAGGACAGGGGAGAGGAAGATGATGGTGCTGGTAGTGATGGTGGTACTGCTGGGGGCTTGGAAGACAAGAGAGTGTGGGTGGAGGGAAGGAGAGGAGAGGATTGCATGAGTGGTGGGGTGAGAGGTGGAAGGTGGGGTGATGAAGTGTGGGTGGGTGTGTGACTGAAAGGGAGGCAAGGAGAGGTGAGGGGGAGGTTACAGAGGCTGTGCGAGGCTAGTTATAGTAGGGGTGAATGAGCGGGGTATATGAGAGAGAGGACTTCTCCTGTAACTACTAAATTTGAAGATGCCTCCTTTGCTCTGCAATCAAATCCATTTTCACATTAAAACAGCAACGCTCAAACTCGCTATGAGAAAGTAACAGGCCTTAGTTACCGAGTCATGTTGCTCCACCGTGTTTGTATTCTCAGGGGAAATACTTCTCCATAACTCACATACTTTAAGCTCGTATTTATAAAAGGGATTCGCACCATTAGGCCTGGTCTTAGATTGGATCAGGTAGAGATCCGCTATGCTGTGGCTGGTCAGCTGTTTCTGACGTGTCTCTATCTGGATGGAGACACTATCAGACTAAATGGGAAGGTCTTAAAAAGAATCCTTATTAATTACAAGACACTTTTGCTGATGTCAACATATCTTCACTACAGAGAGGAACATACTGCTTTTCACTTTACATTTATTTCCTGGGCATGATTGTGATACAGGTAGCAATAAATGGAATTTAGAAGTACA